GTGTACTCAACCGCAGGTTTATATAGTGCTCATGTATTTCCATTCCTCCCCATCCGTCTTCATTCTTCTCCAACTTCTTCTTCTGTGCGGCCTTACATTGAACTACAGCGGTCCACCTACATCTCTCCCTAAAAGACAAAGCCACTTGCTTGACATTCTTTTCCAAGTGTTGCTCTAGTACCTCCGATAATCAAGAGACCTCAACTTCTGCCCCACTGTCGATCCCCCTATTCCTTACTCGGTTGCCTCTGTTCACCGATGCTTTTGCCCTCGTCCCTTCCCATTCCTTCCACGTAACCATTCACTTACCGCCTATTTTACGTGTTCGACTTCCTTTGCGGCAACCTTCTTTCATTATCTGGCCTCTTTTTTCCGTCGTTAACATAGTTTCCCCTTCTAATACTAGCCTCTCTTTTTACTATCTGTATGTGTTTTACGGCTTTCTATCCCAAAATGGACTTCGTACATTCAACGACCCAGTAATTGAATGATGATTTCTGGGTGCACTTATCCTCGTTTTGATAATAGCGAATGTAGACTTGCTGGCTGCAACTGTAGCATCTGCTCGTAACTTCCCTCGTTTTCTTGATTGTAGTAAGGCGCATGCGGACCTTTTCTGGCCATTTGAACTTGGCGTCTACTAAGATCAGCCATTTCTCTTCACCCTGCAGTTGGCGAAAATCATGTGTAACCTTTGCCATGGTGACCGTTATACCGTCTAAATAAATAACTACTATCCCCTCTATTCCAGCTAACGTTGTTTCTATTATCTTCTGGAATATAGCTGGAGCGAATGCTATTCCAAAAGCTATTCTATTATACTCAAACAATCCTTTCTGTGTGATAGCTGTAGCATATTTCCTAGATTCCTTGTCTAAATTGACTTGCACTGTTTCACGAGACAGCAGTATTTATCTCCGAATGACGGTTTCCAGCCGTCTACCTACAATGCGATATGACCGACTAGCGCCGGAACCGGGGGGAGGAGCTCGAAGGCGTCGCTATGCGATGCTCCCGCCGGCCCCGAGCGCTTAAAATTGAACAGGCATAGCCAAAACATATAACAAACTACAAACATTGCAATCGCTGTATAACCCCAAACTAGATAATAACGACGAAATCAGCGTATCGCCCCATGTCCTTCGATTCGTCCTCGAAGCGCATCTTTCTCACTGCCAGCCGGATAGACGAATTCTGTCGTTCGAGGGCGGTGGGTGTAGGTAGACGTTCGGCTGTGATGGAGTCCACAACAGTAGTCCGAGAATATAGCTTCTGACGATCATATAGCACAGCGGCAGGGCAGTCTCGGCGCGGAGTAGCGGCGAAAAATTGAATGTAGACGAAGGGGAGAGGTGAGTGGTGAGTGGACGAAACAGCGACAGGGGTGCAGGCGAATACGATGAGGGTGTGGGGGGAGGAAAGGCGACGAAACGGCGACTAGTATCAAAGAAGGCAGCACCGAATCGATGACGAGGGAGATATTTGCCAGGAAGGTCATCGTCTCAGATCTCGCGCCTCTTTAGGCGGTCCACCGCGAGAGGGCCGAAGAACACTGTTGTGTTCGCCACGGCACACATTACAAGTGACTACACAGTCATCGCCGTGTTCAGACATTTCCCGCATAGATGAAGCTGCGAGCGCATAGAGCGTGAAAAGGGGTCGGTGTAACGATGACATCTGGCAGAATGGTGAGCGTCGACGTTTTCCCGGACATCGCAGAATACGCAATTGGAGGTGGGAGTAGTGCGTTCCATGAGAACGCGGATGTCTTCTTGCATCTGAGAGACTTTGTTGAGGATGGACTCGATGCGGCCCGACATAATGTTGACTGTTTGAATGAGCGCGTCGAGTCCTGCCTGTCGTTCCATCTCTAGCAGATGGATTTCCTGGTCTAGATCGAAGGACTTCGAATGAAGATAGAATGAGGAATGCTGGATTAATAGGGAACTGCGAAAAGCAAGCCTAAGATTGTTGATTGGATAAGGGATCGCTTGACTGTTGTTAATGCAGCGTGCATAGGCTGCGTACGCTACGCGCACATTTGAGGAGAACTTTGCCAAGTAGATGGATGGTCATAAAGATGAGTTTTACTGGAAGCACGGCTAGTTGTGTGGTTATTTTAAAGAGTTTCAAGATGATTAGTAAGCCAATAAAGATATGTCAGTAAGAGAGCCACCGCCAGAGTGGTATGATAGCAAGAGTGATTTTCCAGTGTTCTATAGCTATTGTCCATAGATGGAAGAGGTCTAGTAGACGCAACTCCTTCTACTACTCTGTTTGAGGGATTGTCTGTGTCACATTGGCAAGGAATATATCCTCGAGACTCTCACCAGCGTAGTAATATAGGATACCGCTGAATTCTACTGAAATATTTTTATTGCCACAGATTGTGAAGCAATGTGAGGAGACTACCGCTTTATCAAATGCGATTTTCCACTGTGGATGTTCTATTCGGAAGGATTACATTCGATGGAGAATATATGATGCGCGCAGACAATGGTTGTCCAAGATGGAACCGGGCTGTAAAATGAGATATCAATTTGACTTCCATGCGGTGCAGCTGTAACATCCTTTTAGTTTTCCTGTGTGGATTGTGCACGGCGCGTCGACATTGAGATGGGCACCGTTTAGGTTTTGTTGCAAGCTTATTACTACAGTGGTTTCGATTCCTGGTGTCTCTGCTATTATCCTATCTCTGGGTGTATACGGTGTGGATACAGGCAGAAGATGTTGCTTGTGTCTGCGTAGAGCGGATAATTCACTGTACGGGCAGAGAATTTGGCATAAGTCCACTCACATCGCAGTTGCAAAAGTGTGTGATACGGTAAGATGAAGAATTGTGTTCGGCTTATTGCCTTGAGGTGCATTCTATTCGGAGAAGGAAGTTTTCCGACAAAGTGAAAGTCGCATTTTTGCCAAGCACGTATTTTTGGCTAAGCCGAAGTTGGGGATTCTAAATAGAGGTCAGGATAAACTGAAGTTCCCCACTTTTTTGCGTTGAATGCGGTAGCAGGGTTATCTCCTGTTGCTGCTTGAAATTGTATATTTCTATGGAGATTTCTAGGATGACGGAAGATTGCCAATGTGAGCATGTAATGACCTCGAGGGGTTGTTCAGACACTGGTATATGGTCAACGCGGTGGAACATGCAAGCGCGAAATGGGATTTAGAGTTTCGCATACGTCATCGGTTCCCATTCCCCGCCACAGTGTGGAGAAGCGGATTTTATGCGTTTTTTAGCTCAGAACAAGGAATCTTTTACGCATTCCAGGCGTGCTAGTGGTCGTCCAACCTTAACGAATCCTACGCTGGTGTTCGCGTGACGGAGCAGTATGCAAAGTTGGTGTGTCACTCCATTGAATATCAATTCATGTCGAAACTGGTAGCGGCAAATGGTGCGTTGAGTGCATGAAAGTTCCACTGAATGACGCATATACCCATCCTGGCAGGAGTGGCCTCCGGTGATCAACATTGTACCCAGCAACAGTGATATCGACAATGCGGGTGGAAGTAGCGCTGGCAGACGAAGCTAGAGTGAAGGGAGCCTGGTCCTGACATGAGCGATACTGTATGACCGATAGTGATATGGCCGTAGAATTCGCTGCTGACGGTGTGCTTTTTCCTTTCGATGTCGAGCCAACCAAACCAGAAACAGTATAAGCGTGATGGTGAGGTATGCTGGGATAGGATAACCGATAATATTGCGTCTAAAGGCTAGCATTGTGGTATCAGGGCTTTGGTCAAGAGGTTGGATACCTGATCACAAAATGGCGCGGACTGGCAAGCAGTGTTTTAATGCTGTCATATGTTTGTATTCGTATCTTTGTGGTGGCGTGAATGGGGGATGGTGGTAATTTGAATTGCGTTTTGAGTTCACGTCTGCTGATATTTCTGCAGTTGTTATCGAAGCATAGCTCAAACTCTGTGTGTTGCGTATCAATGGTCACTACTCCATCCCTACAGTGAATTTGTCTTTCCATATAATCGGCGGTGCAACATCCTAGAAATAGCAGGGTTAGGAACAATTGTATACTATGTATTTTGAGTTTCGGGTATGCGCGGGTCAAGAGCAGTGTTGTTGATGTACATTCGTCGTCATCTTGCCTCTCGTAATGTGCGCGAATAGCATCACGTGCTTTAGTTTTTGCCGTACTTCTTTCCGTACTCGCTACAGCGGAGATGTTAACGTGGACATCGGCGTGGCTGCGTCTGCGGTCTTACTGCTGTTGCTGTCGTGATTTTCTTGACTTTCGAGTTTGTATTTTCTGGAATGGATCTGATCTCAAGAGAATAAAGTTTATTGATTGGGCGTTGTATGGTGGTAATTCGGTGGGGCACCGAATTACCACCATACAACGCCCAATCAATTTTACCACCGCGGTGCACAAAACCCTGTCTGAGCTGTGTACCAGACTCCTATATTTTCCCTATCGCCCAATGTCCGCGGGGATAAGTTCGTGCTCAATGAGGACTATTTCTCCTTCTTCTGGAAGTGGCCTAGCATTGTGACGATGTTGTTTGAATAGCATTTTATGAACTTCTCTCAACATAGTGAGGTATTCGGTATTCCATATTCTCCAGAACTTGTCCGCAATATCGCGGAAAGACTCGCGATCCTTTTTCCTCGGACTCGTACGTCATGAAAAGGTATGTGGACATTTGCATTTGCAGTTTGCCTTTTTGCTCTGTATGATTTGAAGAGAAAATGTTTGATTAACAGGCTCTGCTGACGGACGGCTATCGTTTCATCTCAAGCTCTGACGCCACGCCAGCGACGCTGTATAAAGTTCAACTCATGACTCATTCGCGCCTCTTTTCCGTTATTCTCCAGACGCTTTCATTTTCTTAGGTTCATAATTTTATGACTCTTGTTATTAACCTCTAAGGACGATTGATGGTACTCGGCGTTATGTTAGCTTGTTAGTTTAATTACCCAAGTTTGAGGCTCTGTTGGTCGATTTGACAATAAAACTCGGTTGGCGCTGTGTGGGTATATCTACTTGACAAGACCGCGTGGCAGAAGTGACCGGTACCGGTGACCCTCCACTTTATGCAATGCATTCTGAGAACCCTAGAGCTTCTTTAGCTTGTGATATGTGGTTTGTATACAGTATGGGTCGTATGTCGAGTGTCATCTTCCATCTCATCTACTGCTGGTAGCGAAAAGCAGAGATTTTCCTGCAAGTCGACAGGGCGCAAAGGAAGGGTGACAATTCCACTCGTATTGACAGCAGTAAGCGGTTTGGTATTGAGTATCGCTTCTTTCTGGTAAGGACAGTTTTCATTTCTATGAAGGAAAGTTATTCCTACGTAGCATTTCTGGTAAACGGACTTTACGGATGCTACCAGCCTCTCCCAGACACCTCCCATCCAAGTAGCTCCTGGGAGATTGAACAGCCATGTGATCCTTTACTTGGGCACAGAAGCTCATTGTTGACATCCCATTTGACTGGGTTTGATCGAATAGAGCGTCTATTACCTTCTGTCCCAGTACAAAATTGGTGCCGCAGTCTGTACGGACTATTCGTGGTACGCCCCTTCGTGCAGTAAAGCGAACAAAGCTGTTCAGAAAGGCTTCTCCTGAAAGATTTTCGACCAGTTCAGGATGCACTGCACGCGTTGTTGAGCAAGTATATAAGCAAACGTGAGCCTTAGAGCTATTCTTGATACTACATGGCCCGAGAAAATCGCATCCGATGTTCTAACGGTTTTGCTCGTTTTACTCGATCCGGGGGAAGTTGAGCCATAGGTGGTGTGTTGAAGGGAAGACCCTGTTCGCGTTGGCAGATTGCACATTTTTTTGAGAGTTGACGAATTGCTCGGGAAGGCTTCGGGAGCCAAAAACGTTGGCGCGCGAGCGTAAGAAGATGGCTTTTTCCACAGTGGCCGTTGCACTTGTGTAAGTCGGTTAATGATCAAGCGCATCAGTTCCGAGTGTGCTTGAATATAAATCGGATATCGAGTGTCATAAAGAATGCTAGAATTTTATAAACGTTAATGGACTCGAATTATACCATTTATAAAATATATATTCATCCCAATTTTTACATTGTATTTTGTTAACGTTTACGCTTTGTGTTGACTTTGTAATAAGATGATCCGCGATGTTTATATCGCTGGCGGTGATGAGGGGTCCGATGGAAAACATGGCAGTTGTAAAGAGAGTAATTTTGGCATGTGTATTATTCTTCGCACGATTGGCTAGTACACGAATGAATTTGCCGGCTAACTCGTAACTCTGAGAGAGTAACTCTGAGAGACTGCTGAAGCGCTCTAGAGGAATAACGTTGTAGCACGTATCCTGTTGGGAAGCGGCTTCTTTCAAAACCATACGATATTCTTTTTCTTCTATTGGGTCTATTGGAATGGGTCCAATTAGATCTATTTTTGTGAGCATTATTCTTTTTTTCTTCAGTAAGCACCCATTGTGGGCTTGTAACCCAGTCGCTGCTTCGGAGTTTCTCCTGTAAGTCCCCGTGTACCGTCGTAGGCGGGATATTGTTCTTCAGGAACGTGAAGTCACTCGATTTCATGCCCTAAGGCACTGAAGCGGTTTATGATTGTTTTTATTCGGTCACGTTGATTCCTGACGAAAGAGAGGGAGCTTGCGTGAAGTATGTATCCAGCTCAATGCAATGAGGCTGTCGCGTACGATGCAGAACTGCGTAAACCCACTTTCCAACGCTAATGATATGGATTCGGCCGAACGTAGAGCTAGCAAGAGTGCCAGTAACTCCAGTTTCCATGTAGATGCTCCCTTTTCTCTAGAGCAAGTTTGGTTTTTCCACTTATGAGGCCTGAAACTTCTATGAAGTTGCGGTCCACCGTGTATGCACATACTGCCATAGCTTGGACACTTGCGTCAGCAAATATCCAGAGCGTATTTCTCAGAACGTCTGTATTTGATACCATGATGTGACGAGGAATGTGAATGTTGACGTTGTCAATCCCTTGCTGAGTACTTGCCATTGTTTCAGTGAGTCGGGATCCACTTTTGAATTCCATTCAGAGCTATTTTCGAGTACGAGGCGCACGAGGTGTTTCTGCTTTGATAGCAGGGGCCCCCGAAACCTATCGGGGTGGTGTTGTCTCAAAACGTCACTTTTTGTAGCCGGACATGATTCGAGTTCTATTCGGAATGTAAAATTATCTGAAGCGAGATTGTGCTCTAAACCGAAGGTTTCATACGCATATGGTGCTCTATCAATTTCGGCGATTTCGGAGTATACCTTAGTGAAATTGCAAACAAACGCTCTGAGGTTCATTCCAATCTTCGTGAAAAGTTCTTTGGACTGTTTGTACTTTTGGATTGCACTTTCTGGAGTAAGAGATGTTACTCTCTTCTTATCTATTCTTATTATTCTCATAGAGGTATCATTGTATTTCCCTCACCAGATCCGTATACTCACGGTTTAAGTATGACCATGTTAAGCATGCTTGGGGAGGCACTAGTGCCAAACGGAACGCGCGTCCATCGTTACTCCACAATGTTATTATGAAATGGTGGTTTGTCGGGGTCGCGCAGCCACAGAAATCGGCACAGATCGCGGTGACCTTCTTGTATTCGAATTTGTGTAAATGCAGCTTGTATGTCTGCTATCAGTATTATTGGCATTTCTCGACTCGCAACAAGGATATCATGCACCTTATTTATAGATGTGGCACTGATGTATAAGACGTTATTCAAAGACAGTCTGCCTGGAGTAGTTTTGTTTCCTTTCCACACTCCTGAGTGGAGCATGTAGTATGTTCCCACAGAATCAGAGACTGGCTTTGTCACTTCTTCGATGACATCATCCTGAAGGTATTGTCGATAATTTCTTTTGTACCACCTTTTTTGCTCTTCATGTGCATCAAAGTGGTTCAT